GTTTCATAGAGTGCTCTCCCTCCTCACTCACTATTTTATTACAAGTTTAACCTCTCTAGTCTGGCACCCTCGGGACCTGACTGGTTCCAAACTAGAGAATTTTCTGGACCATGGGAAGTCAGTATTGTCTAGCAGCATCACCAACACTTCCATTGCTTCCTGGGCTGCTAGAGGACATTTAGGGGGTAAATTAGAGCTAAATAACGGCACAGAACACTGAGAACCAGGACTGGTGGCTATAAACAAACTTTATGGGACCACGGGAAACTTGGCCACACCCAAGAAAAGTGGACATCTGCCTAACTAAAATAATTCTGGACAATGGATGTTTCTGGACTTGACAGTTCTGCACTAGAGATGTTCAACCTGTATCATTTCCTGCGCCCCAGTTCCTAAACAACGATGAGCACACTAGGTTCCAGGTGAACAAACCTAACCATTGAAAAAACGTTACCAATAACCGACCAACCAAACTGTTTCAAAGTTGGGAAGAGTTAATCCTGCTGCATTAGGCTTTTCATGCTACTACTGGTGGTTCTTTTTCTCCAGAGGAATTGCCAAATAGTTTCACCAAACTTGCCTCTCCAGGAGCCAGGCCAGATCCAAAGCCCACTGAAGTCAATGAAAAGACAGCCACTGATTTTAGATAAGGCTCCGAAAGAGCTCCTCCATAGCTAACACATCCCAGGTCTTAGAATCCATGTACCTAAAGGCAGGATTTCCATGGAAAAAAACAGAAGCTTCAGCTTAAGTTGGAAGCAGCCCTGAAAGCATGAAGAGGCACAGCCATTTGTAAAAACATCCTCTAAAAGCAATAATCACTCAAACCTAACCTCCCAAGTGTTTGAATGGACACGACATTTGGCTCTCCATAAGCTCTCAGAGCCTGAAACACACACGGAAATGGCATTATCTGCACATGCTGGACATCAAAGAGGGAATGGATCCCATATCCTAGGAAACTAATAGGATTCATTTTGTTCTCTCTCCCCATTGGGATGGGGCATACAAATGTGTTTATGTATCTACATTTCTCTTTGTCTGCATTTTTTATAAATTAGCACTGACCTATTTTATACCTAAAATCATCACACACACAAACCCACCCTCCGCATACACATTAAAATCATGGTAGAGATCTGATGTGAGTCTGCAGAAGTGGAGAAATTCAGACTCAAGTCTCCAGCTGTCCTGCCTTGGGGATGGAAGTTGGATAGCGCTATGAAATCCCTATAAGGCCTTATGTCACAAACCTCTTCTTTCTGTGATTGCAGGTGGGCCCCAGGTCTCTGTATTTTCAGCGCCTCGAGCAGGGATATTTAATCAAGTGACTCGCATTGATATTAATGAAAGTCACGTGACTTTAAAAATCCCTGCTGAGGAATGAAAGAGTTTGTCACGTTAATTCTTGTAGAACTAGCCCCCTGGAAACGGTTTCCTATGGGTTTTGACTGGCTGCAAGGGGATGCCCCACTTAGGATCTGCCATAAATCAGGCTCAATCCACTCTGCTTGGGAAAGTGGACTGAGTGTGTCTCTGTCCATGCTTCCTGCGGCAATGCCTCCAGATTAAATGTTCCCCGTGTATAAGCAATATGATTTTTTTTAAAGGCCCAGTACCACAAAAAAAAAAAAATCAACCTGAGATGTCAGAGTCATGCTGGGTTCTTTCCTTCTTCTGCATCATCCTCATCAATAACAGGAATTCTGCAGGCCAAATTCCACCTCTCCGTGACACTGGGCTCAAACCAAATGTCTATGTTCAGATTCAGCTATGAGAGACACCTGCCCCAACGATCATCCGCTCAGCAGGCAAGACTGCAGTTGCTTAACCCTGTAATCAGGTTAGTGTAAGCATCTCTGCTGATGGTGCAAAAGGGAGGAATACCATTCCGCTCACTCCCTTGTTGTTCTGCAGGGCAAGCAGCAGGAAAAAGTAGCCCAAGATTACTTCAGTCATCACAGCTAGCAGACTGGACTCTGAACACAAGCCGGGCGCGCATCTGTGATATGAATATACCATTTCCACCCAGCCACCTTTCCACATGGAACCCCTTTTGAGGGCTCTGGGTTCTGTTTGCTCCCTAACACAAACAAGCAACTCCTAGTAGGATCAAAGGGTGAAGCCTGTTGGGGGAATCCCCACCAACCTAGAAAGATCAGAGCTTTCCCCTCTAGGAAACAGCAAATTACACAGAATTAAAACTTGGCATTCCAGACTAATTCTAATCACCCATGGGAGCATGTATCTGTGTGCAAAGGATCATGGGAGAGCAAGTGTGTTTGCCTGTGCATAGATGTGAGAACTGACCCGCTGTGTGCACTTCTGTTTGGCCATCCTGCCTTCACAGAGGCTGTTCCGGCCGAAATCTTGTTATTTATGTTCTGTTGCTAAGATAATAAGCCCTCTGTTATGAAGGCAATGATAGCTGTGAGCATGAACGTTTTACTAGGGCCCAATGAGATCACCGTGAT